TTTTTTGAAAGGGAGGTCATGTTGAAAACTATGTAAATTGGGTTTTATGTTATAAACATAGGCACTTGTTTCGGTAATAATTTTTTGACCTATAGTATAATACAATAGCACTTGTTTCGGTAATAATAACTTGTTTTGGTATGTGCTAATCCCGGGCAGAGATTTTTTACTTTTTTTGAAAGGGAGGTCATGTTGAAAACTATGTAAATTGGGTTTTATCTTATAAACATAGGCACTTGTTTCCGTAATAATTTTTTGACCTATAGTATATAATACAATAGCACTTGTTTCGGTAATAATAACTTGTTTTGGTATGTGCTAATCCCGGGCAGAGATTTTGATTGGCTAAAAATCTGCTTCTAAAATTACATCGGATAAACATCGTAATGTTTTTAGGGAAAATCAGACTTAAACAAATTCTTTTTATTCACTGCAATATTTGAACACTGGAATTGAATTATTAAACCCACTCATTTTTGTTCTCTGTCCGGGATTAGCACATACCATTTCATGGGTTAAATCGACTCGGCGAGCAGAGATTTGACGCTGTTTACAGAGATAAAAGAAAATAAAGACAAGGATGTTATATATGGTTGTGTAGATAAATTATCGTAGAAGACATAGGTATAAACAGTTTGCCAGTGCGTTTCCTCTGAAAGTGTAAATGAGTGCGATTCTGGGGGAGGGGGGTACTCCATGTAATTCGGAGTTGGATACCTTGCGTTATTATTATACTATGGGTCAAAAATTTATTACCGAAACATGCCTGTGTTGTTATTATACTATGGGTCAAAAATTTATTACCGAAACATGCCTGTGTTATTATTATACTATGGGTCAAAAATTTATTACCGAAACAAGTGTCTGTAATTAGAAATTAAACTTTTGATCTCGTCACAGATTTTGAATAACATAAAAAAAAATCGATATTATAATATCTAGCGGATTATAATATATTATCACTCTAGAAAACTAATATTTAGAGATAGAAAGTTTTTGTTCAGTTCATGTATTTTAAATAAAAGTAGCCTATCAGTTACAAAAACCCTTTTTCAGTTTATGTTGAAAACTAAATGAAAATCGGCGAGACATTCAATTGTTTTAATTCATTTCATTGTAAAAACGCACATATGATTTGGAAATAAGTCCTTCGCACTCACAAAGTACTCCTCTCTGATAATTCAATTTTCATTTAATTAGAATAAGATCTTTAATAGCCTCACATGCTCGCTACGAAAAGGGTTTGACAATTACCATACTGGACATCACTTTCTATTGAAAATATGTATTTGCCTTTATATTTCTATCCAGTTGAGATGAAGCTTTCCAAAATTTATTTTTGATATCAGAAAATAATGTAGAATATAGCATTTATAAGTTATACGTCTGTAGTATAAGATACTTTAATACTAAACAAAAGGACTATTGCAGTGCTCATGTGTACAAAGATAGCAGATACTGTAGAACGCTCCTTCGTCAAATGATTCCCAGTCGCGGGGACACAGATTATTCTTCCATGTACTATAGGATATAATGCAATCGGTTTACACTTGCGCGCAGTTATCGCATAAACTGCAATATGAAACCAATACCTTTCTTTGTTTTTGTTTTGTTTTTTTTAATATATTGGTTAAATGATCATGATGCTGATTAGATACTTCTCTATTCCAAGTTTAAGTTTTTAAATGTGTTCATATAATTGCAATCATGGATTTTTTACGATGTTACGATGTAACATAATGACGTTACATTACAAATAATGACGTTCCTCACGCAAATTTCAATGAAAACAATACCATAATGTAAAATCTCTTCTTGAAAAAGTATAATAGATATCTAAAAAAGAAAAACAGTAATGAAAAGCTAAAAGTCTCTACTATCTATATTGAAATCCTCATTCATTTTTGAGTTAAAGCACATTTTGATGGTTCGTGGCTCTAGCTCTTTCTTATTTTTTCCTAAGTTCAAGAGAGATAACTCTGTCAAAAATCATCAGACCAAGACCAAATTCAAACTTGATCTGCATTTTCTTGTAAAATACTTGCATATGGAATTTCAACCTTATAAATACATCCCTACAAAGGTTAGAGAGCAGAAACTGAAAATTTCTTCTTCTTTTTTTTCTAAGATCAAGAGGGATAACTCTGTCAAAAATCTGACATTGGACCATGGTTAAATTTGAACTTGACCTACCTATTCCTATGACGTATCTATATTTAAATTTGAGTTGAATGTGTGCAAGTGTTGCCAAGATAATGAATGGAAAGTCAATTATGAAGGAATGACAGAACAGGGTAACACTATATCCCCATGATGGGGACATAAAAATTGGCCAAGGGGTTCTTGAGATATGGTCCACATTCAAAAAAGTTTATGCCTTCAGCTCAGAAGAGCTAACAAGAGGCCCAGGGGCCTTCTGTAACTTCTGTTTATCAGCAGATTATTTTCCCTATATATTCTATGTAAAACTTAGATCAAATATTTTGACCCAACCGTACCCCAAGGGGGTCATTATTCAAACAAACTTGAATCTACAATGCCTGAGGATACATCCAAATTATTAAGAATATTCAAAGCTTTGCTGTTCTTGAGAAGATCTAATATTTTGAATGATTTTTTTCCAATATATTCTCAAGTAAAACTTTGACAGCCCAATGTGGCCCCACCTTACCCCATGGGTCATTATTTGAACTAACTTCAATCTACACTACTTGAGGAAGCTTCAATATAAATATGAATGATCATGGCTTTACTGTTCTTGTGACTGAAATTTTTAAAGATTATTCCTATATATTCCCATGGTGGCCCACCCTACCCCAGGGGGTCATGATTTGAATAACTTGAATCTACTCCTTGTCAGGAAGTTTTCATATAGTAAGTTTAATCTTTTCTGGCCCAGTGGTTCTTGAGAAGATTTTTAAGTGATCCCAACCAAATTTCTCCTTATTTTTTTTTTATAATATCCCCTTGGAAGACAGCTCAGCCCTAGCCCTTCATTTGAACAAACTTGAACCCCTTCATCCAAGAATACTCTGTGCCAAGTTTTGAAATCGGTCCCGTGGTTCTTGAGAACAAGATGAAAACATGAAAAGTTTATAATGACAATGTTAGTAGCAATGAGAATGACAGACAAATTTTGATCCTAAAAGTTTAATGAAGGCTCAGGTGTACTACTATAATTTTAATTTATAAACATGTATACATGCTGAAACACGTCATAATAAATCAATACCGTATATACTCGCCTATAAGTCGGTTTTTTGGGAGTTAAATTTTGGTCCAAAACTCTAGGTCCGACTTATAGGCGAGTCATAAAAAGATTAGTATTATCTGGACGTCGAAATGTAGTATGGATATATCATATCATTTATGCATTCTAAGATTATACATAAAGTACAAGTATTTACATATTTTAATAACTTTATTTTTATTTAAAGTGTGCATTATGTATTTTTCTTAATGATTTAAAATGAAATATCAGTGTCATTTCTAAGAATATTAACCGAAACCAGGTTAAAACATCAGAGCTTGGTTTGAAATTGTCAACTGATTCTAACAACAAGAGGCCCATGGGTCACACTGCTCACCTGAGTAACTTTGGCAATGCTGTTCTTTACCAGATTTCCCCCTTGTAATACTTATTGTGGCCCCACCATACCCCCGGGGGTCATGATTTTAATAATTTAAAATCTACACTATCCCACGATGTTTCCACATAAGATTCAGTTTTTCTGGCCCAGTTGTTCTTGAGAAGAAAATTTTCAAAGATTTTTCTTATATATTTCAATGTAAAACTTGGATTCCCTATTGTGGCCCCGCCCTACCCCCGGGGGTCATGATTTTTACAATTAAGCATCTACACCCAAGGATGCTTCCACATAAGTTTCAGTTTTTCTGGCCCAGTTGTTCTTGAGGAGAAGATTTTTAAAGATTTTTCTTACATATTTCAATGTAAAACATGGATTCCCTATTGTGGCCCCGCCCTACCCCCAGGGGTCATGATTTTTATAATTTAGCATCTACACTACCCCAGGATGCTTCCACATATATTTCATCTTTTCTGGCCCAGTGGTTCTTGAGAAGAAGATTTTTAAAGATTTTTCCTATTTATTTCAATGTAAAACTTGGATTCCCTATTGTGGCCCCAGCCTACCCCCGGGGGTCATGATTTTTACAATTTAGAATCTACACTACCCCAGGATGCTTCCACAAAAGTTTCAGCCTTTCTTGACCAGTTGTTCTTGAGAAGAAGATTTTTATAGATTTTTCTTATATATTTCAATGTAAAACTTGGATTCCCTATTGTGGCCCCGCCCTACCCCCGGGGGTCATGATTTTTATAATTTAGCATCTACACTACCCCAGGATGCTTCCATATAAGTTTCAGTTTTTCTAGCCCAGTTGTTCTTGAGAAGAAGATTTTTAAAGTTTTTTCTTACATATTTCAAAGTAAAACATGGATTCCCTATTGTGGCCCCGCCCTACCCCCGGGGGTCATGATTTTAACAATATAGAATCTACACTATCCCAGGATGCTTTCACCTAAGTTTCAGCTTTTTTGGCCCAGTGGTTCTTGAGAAGAAGATTTTTTAATGACCCAACCCTATTTTTGTCTTTTCTTGATTATCTCCCCTGGTAAGGAAACTTGGCCCTTTATTTTAAAAATTTAAACTCCCCTTCACCCAAGGATACTTTGTACCAAGTTTGGTTAAAATTGGCCCTATGGTTCTTGAGAAGAAGTTGAAAATGTGAAAAGTTTACAGACGGACGGACGGACGACGGACAACGGGTGATCAGAAAAGCTCACTTGAGCTTTCAGCTCAGGTGAGCTAAAAAGTTGTACCGACTTATAAGCGGGTAAATGGCAAATCCCTCTAAAATAACCTCAAAAAATACAACCGACTTATAGGCGGACCGACTTATAGGCGAGTATATACGGTATATTACAAATACAGTCATTAATAATCTTGACTTTCTAACAACATGAAAAATTGACTCACCAAGACTAGGAGAAGAGCGAGCCACCGGATGACACTTCTTGCGTCTCTTTTTGGTGACAAAGCTGTCCTCTGTGGAATCTGACTCAACTGAGTCACCACCTGATGTTCTTGACAAAGCTGGTATGTCCTTCAAGTTTTTCTTCAGAAGGCACTTTTCTGATGCTGCACCGCTGAAATCTGAACCTTTAGGACTGCAAGATCTTCTCTTCCATGCTTTCTTTTGACTGTAAGACTCCACAGTACTGGAATCATGAGAAGTCTCATCCTGATCTTTAATGGTCATCTTTTTGCTGTTGGAAGTGTCCTCCACAGATTCATCATCATCATCAAAATCTGGTTTATATGGATCTGATCTGCTAAAGTTCTCCATCTTTTCTTCTAAATAATTTTCCTTTGTTGATCTGTAGTCTAGTTCCATATTTCTCTCTGCTAGATATCTATTAAGATTAATTAATGCCCTGGAAATCATAGGGTCTTCATCTTGGTGTAAATCAACGGAATGCTGCAATGTCACATATTTATCTGTGGATGCAAACCCACAACGACCGCAGGACCAGTTACAGATCTTGTGCAAATACATCATGTGTAGCTCTATCCCTCTCAAAGTCCGCTTCTCAGCAAAGCAGACTGGACACGACACCCATTCATCTTTTGTGTCTTTTACTGAAGGAACATTAGCACTAGGGACTTTAAGTGGACTCTCTGTCTTTTTAACCTCTTCCTCTTGATCAGAATTCTCCTTTTCTTTAAGTTCTAACATGTTAAGGGCACCACATTTCTTCAGCTCACCTCTAGACATAGCTTGCACAGTTTCAATATCTGCAAAGGCACGCAACAAATATGGTGTGTTTTCTTTGTGAGACTTTTTGGAGTGTTTCACTGCAACAGATTTATTGTATGTCACATGGCCACAACGCCCACATTGTAATTTCTTCAGTTTATGTTTCATTGCCAAATGCCGCTGGACACCAATGTAGTTGGAATTAAATCCACACAAAGGACATGTTGCTTTTGTGCTCATTGGCCTCTTCACTTTCTTTTGCAATCTTTTTTGAAATGTGAGAACTTTTGAATGGTTAGGTTTCTTCTTCAGTTCTTTTTTATCCTTGGAGAGAAATTCCACCAGCTCATGTCCAAGATTAAGGTTGTAAGTAACACGCACTGCCTTGCTGATTTTCACATTGTGTTCCATGTTGCAATGCTCTGTTATGTCCTCTTTATTTTTCTTAATAAATTTACAGTATGGACATTTATACATAAAAACATTGTGTGTGCGTAAGAGATGCATTTGAATTCCTTTCCGAGTGAACTTCAGATCACACTTGATACACCTGAAATCCTGTGCTCCTTTGACTGGATACTTATGAGGCTGCACCCTCTCCTCAACCTCTCTCTCCTCAGCCTCTTTTTCACTGCTGTCCATCTGATCTTCTGCTTGGTTGTTCTCATCCTCTTCCTTGCTTTGGGAGTTTCTGTCATCAACAACCTCCTCCACTTCCATGGTTTTGCAGAATGATCTTTTGATGCCAGGAGAAGTACCAGGATGATCTGCATAGCAATGCCTCAGACATTCCTGTTTTGACATAGACATAAAAAGACACAGATTACATGTATATTCACACATGTTATGGACCCAGAAGGCATGGCGCTTGATTCCCATAGCACTGTCTGCAGACTGACCACAGTAGGGACATCTGTAGTATAATGCTAAAGCTTTTGTGTCTGGTTTGGTTGGAATGCTTGGTTTTGATGGCTTCAAAAATTCTGCTTCCATCAGAAGACCTCTCTTTCTTCGTCTGTAGAGATCTGGACTAGGATCAAATGTAGTTTTAAACTTGCGTACTCTTGGAAGATCCAGTATGTTACTTTCATCAACAATTTCGTAATTCTGAACTCTATTTGTTTGTTTTTTCCTTCGAGCAAATTTCTTCTTTCTTTTATGAAAACTGAAACTTTTGGATTTTCTTAAGTTTTTGTGCAGAAAGGAAGATTTCATTTTTTTGTATTGTTTTTTTGGTTGGTTGCTTTCTGACTTTCTGGAATATTTTGAGTGGGTGTGACCACTTTCACTGGTTTTAGAGTTAATCTTGGTTGCAGGCAAAGGCTCTATAATGTCACTCATTGCATCAGAATCATCCTCTTTCTCCTGAATGTTATCCTCTGATACATCAATGGACATTTTTTCACTACCATTACCAGAGGAAATTCTTTCTCTCTGAGAAAGACTACCATCAACATCCTTCTTTGAAATCTGAGACATATTATCACTTGTCAACTCAACATTTTCAAAGTTATTTTTGGTTTCCTCAGAGTCCTTCTTTGTGATTTCTGAAGGACTTGACACATCATCTGGATTAGTTGACTGAGATAAACTTTTAGTTTTACTCTCCATCTCTCCGAGTATGTCTCTGATTTTTTTCTTTCCGGAATATGTTTTCTTCACCACTCCCATCTGCACATCAGGTGTAGAATCATCAGTGCTCTCACCTAAAACTGTAGAGGCTGCTGCAGGACTGGCTGGATCAGATCTTTTTGAAGTAAAACGGAATCTCCTTTGATCACCAAAAAGTTCCTTTGAGGATTTATCATTTTCTTCATCAGATACCCATTTGTGATGTTTACATGCAATTACATTTCTTTCTAACTGTCTTTCAGCTTCACCATCTTTTTTGTATACAAAGTGTTGTCCAGCACATTCCTGGTGATTCCTTAGGTGGCTTGAGAAGCCATATTTGTTGCAGGAAGGGAATCCACAATTAGAGCACACATATGGTTTGTAGTTCAGATGAAGCATATAATGCCTACGGAAATTTTGAGCGGATTTTGTAACAAAAGTACACTTATCACATTGAAAATAAAACATTTTTACTTTATTCACAAGGGAAATGTCAATGGAATCATCATCAACATAGGTTGATGCATCTGCTTTCTGCTGGACTGGAGCAGCCTCTGGCTTTGCCACTTCTGGTTGAGGCTGTGGGCTTGAGACAGTAACCTGAGATCTATGATTTAATGGATTTGTTGGGGTGCCTACTTGTTTAACTTGGGCTTGTTTGGCTAATAAAATATGTGGTGCTATGGTTGTGGTAGAAGCTACTTGTGCTGCAGGGATGTTTGTTTGTGGCTGCATAGTACTGGTAATAGCTTGCATCTGAGTTGAAGTTGAAAACACTGGGATTTGAGAAGCTGAAAGTTGCAGAGAGTGGTTGGTTACATCTTGTTGACCAGTTGTTTTAGTTGCAGGTTGGGCTGTTGATGATGGTTGAGATACTGATGAGTGAATGAGTGTTGGAACACTTGTTATATGGGTTTCCTGTGTCCCTGGTTGAATAACACCTGTTACTTGTGGGTGGATCACTTGTCTAATGTTGGCACTTTGTACTAAAGGCACAATGCCAAGTGGAACCCCAGTGATAAACCTGTGATTGACTTGTGGTAGTTGACCACTATGGATGACATTCAGAGTTTGGTTTGTTAAAGGGAATCTGTTTGGTGTTGTCTGAATATTCATACCAGCAGGATAAACAGGACCAATCCCTGGAGTGTACACAACCTGAGTCAGTGGAGCGCTGGAGCTTGCCACAGATGGCTGGACATTAAATTGCTGGAATTGCTGCATGGCTACAGTATTGAGATCTGCTGTACCTCTAGAGAACTGGCCCATCAAAGGAATACTGGCAGGATTAACAGCCACCCCCAGAGCTGGGATCATTAGTGGGGGTGGTGGGGCTGTAGAGGAACTAGTGGGAGATACTGTTGTAGAGGGCTGGGTCAGATTGAACTGAGAAAAATCATCTGTATTTAAGGATTTCTCAACTTCACTTTCCTCTTTATCTAAGCATTCTGTACCTTTTGCAGCTTCCTCATTTTTATCTTTCGTCTCAATATCTGTTATGACTGGCTGGTCAGAATCTTTGTTATTTTCGCCACTCAAATTTTTGTCTTCAATTTCATCAACCTTTTCCATCAAATTCTCTTTCTCCACTGTTTCATCTTTTTCACCTGTATTTATCTTTAGGTTTGTTACATCTTGTTCCATTACATTTTCCCCTTCAACATTTTCTACATTTTCTTTCTCAATTGCACTATCTTTTTCTAAATTATCTTTTGGAACTGATATATCTTTTTCTGCATTTTCTTTCTCAACTGTTCTTCCCTTTTCTGCTTTCTGTTCCTCCAATGCTCTGTCTGTTTCTTCTCCAATTTCTTTTGTCCTCTCTTCACTGTCTTCAGTCCTTGTACCAACTTCAGTATTCTCCCTCTGCTTTTCCTCTTCCTCATCATTGATAACATCCTTTTCTGTTTGATTTTCCATTGATTTTTCCATCACAAAAGGTTCTACTTTCTCTACAACAGGTTCTTTCTCTTTTTCTTCTGCTGGTGCTTGATCTTCCTCAACAACCTGTCCTTTGTCTGCTTCTTCATCTGGCATTTGATCCTCACCTACAACTGGTTCCTTCTCATCCACTTGGGTACTAACTGCTGTGGAGACACCTTCTTCTCCCATTCCCCCAAGCCCTGTAGTTGCTGTCTCTCTTTCAGTATCACTGGAATCGGACAATCCCTCCTCACTCCCTGACTCTGAATTCTCAGACAGAGTTTCCTGAATTTTGTCCATCTGCTCCTTCACAGGGCTGTTGGCTCTCTGGATTAGTTTAGATTTCAGGTTCCTTCTTACTGTCTGTGAAAAATCAACGCTGGGCTCATCCATTTGCTCTATTATGTCATTGTTTTCATTCCTTACAACAACTGCAGGAATACTGCGTAGTTTTGTCTGTTTATCAGGAATGGTTTGTGTCACACTTGGTTCACTGTTTTCATCCTCTTTATCCTTTGGAGCATCTTTTACCTCAGCATCCATGTTTGGTTGTTGTCTCCCTTCAACTGATGTAGTCAAGTAGTACTCGAAATGTAACTTCACCTGTAATGACAAAAATTTTAATCAAAGCTCAGTTTTTAAAACTATGAAATGAGTCATAATTAGATATCAGACTTCATACACTAATACAAATTTTCATGTTTCATTATTAATGAATCCTGGGCTCGGCATTCTTGTCCTATGGACATATTTCTAGCTTTATTTGTGACCTCACAATAGGAGAGCTAATTTTGGCTTATTTTAGGTTTAACTTATAAAATAATGAATGCATAACGTAAAAGTTACATATTATATGTCTGAACTGGTGATGTTTTCTGGCCTTGACTTTTTTCCTATTGTTAATCATATCAGTAACCTCATTCTAGGGCAGGTATTACAGACTAACACTAAAACCTTTTGTTTCTTCTAAAATTCAGATAGTAAATGATTTTCGCCATGGAGAATTTCCTTCTCATAGTATAACGAACTTTTTAATTATTTATTCAAACAGGTTCAGTAAAGATCTACAAAGTCGGCAGTAGAACTTTTTAATATAGAAGATTTTCATACCATTACTGGAAGTTAAGTTTGAGCCCGCTTAACAGAAATCAAAAATTGCATGTTTAACAAAACATTTGGCAATATTTTGAGGTTTTAAGGGTTTGTATCTGTTCATTATATTCTTTGACAAAAGTTATCTTTTTTCCTCATTTGCAGCAAATAAAGAGTTATAAGTCAGCTCAAAACCAGGCTAAATGATTTTGGTAGTTATATGTATACTAAATGTCTAAGGTATGATTTGACTTTTACCCTAAAAAAAACAAGTCAAATTAGAACCTGAGTCTTAGTTACAAATTGACATCCACCTATTTGTTACAAGTTGATTTGTTGGGTTCATCTTGACTTGGTTATGAGTCAGTAAGATTGAGATGAATTGATACCATGGAGACCTAACTTTTATTACAACTATGAGTTTGTTTATTTCACCTTGTTTTTACTATCTTTCCATACATGTCCAAGAATGAACTTGATATCGATGACATCTACTATATCATGAGGATATTGTATCGATATTGATCCTAATCGGTACTATAAAATTGTAATTACTGGATTCCATAAATAAGACTAAGTGCTATGTCAATATCAATAATATCATGTCAATATCATATTGATATCAATCCTGATCTGTAAAATTTATTTTCAGGTTGAAGTATAACATATTACTACATTTCAACAGTAAAATACTGTGATTTATATATTGAATAAATATTATATTCTCTCACAGTGTAAAAGGATTATCAAAGTAGGAAACAATAATTCCTGGCCTGTCATAAGAGAGAGATAGAAACTAAACCGTCTTGATAGAGACTTAAACTGCCAATTTCATCCAAATATGTTGTTAAAATCCATATTACAATGTTTTCAATCTCACAAAGGCTAAGCTATTCATGACGTCTCAACCACTTAACTAGCCATTACACTACAGCCTATGACACTGATATGATATCCGATTATCGAAGACATTGACAATAGATCAAACTTATTAACTGGAAAGTACATACGCAGAAGTCTTGCATAAAGAAATACATTCACAAGAGCAATTATTAAAATGATTTGATATTGAAAGAATATCGACGATATCGATGGCAAATACAATCTTTGTCAATCTAAAGAAGTTAAACATATAGACACACATATATACAATGACAAGGACGGTATCAACCAATAATTTAATTCTGGTTGTAACACACCACTTGATTGGATAGAAGAATTTGTTTATATCGTATAATGTGTTGTCTACGTCACATGGCTTACATCAAAAACCTATTAATCAGCTTGACGTTACATTTAATATCTGAAGCAATTGAAGGCCTTTTTGAAGGAATGAATTTAATAGCTACCCAAGTAGTACTTGTATAACCTGGGTTAGAACAGTTTACGCTTTTTTATAAACCGCTTTGTGGTTTATAAAGCATAAACTTCCCCAACCCAGGTTATATAGTGTAACTTGGGTAGCTATTAAATTCATTCCTTAAATAGTTGAGTAAACATGATTTGATATTGAAGCCATATCGTTGATATCAACACTATAAGGAAAACGTCAAAAAGTGATAGTAATCCATGGAACAATCTTGATTCGATATTGATATGATTATATCATGACAGAAAGGAAAAGTTTGTAAACAGAAAGTATTCTATAATATACAAACATATACATAGAGAAATAATTTAACAAACTATAAAAAAAAAAAGTTAACTACATCATATTTTGGACATAACTCTTATCTTTTTTTTTTTTTACAATTTAAAACAAAACTTCTAAGTGAAAATATAAATTATAAATTTATTACTGGTGCTATCTTCTTGGTGTGAAATATGTATCTTCAAAAGACTCATTTAGATTTAATAAAGCATTGCTGAAATGTTAACCTTGGGCAAAAATTACATTTAAAACTCCAAATCTGAAAAAAGTCACCACTGGCTTGTCATCACCACATTTTTGTTTTTTGCATCTTTTTAACATAGCACTTAAATAGAAATAAAGCATGGAATTCTAGAAATATTGCAAAAATAAAGTCTTCCTTGGGAGAAAATTCGGGTGATTCATAGCAATAATCTGATAATATTGACTTTCAGAATAATTGTATTGCACCTTATTGATTAAAAAAAAATGTGGTGATTCTGAATGCATGTTGGTGAAAACAATGGGTTCCCTTTGTACTATGTACATTATTGATGACGTGAAATGTTCAGAGGTAAACAAACCACTTTGCAGATTTACTAAAACAGTCAACAACGAAACAATCAATGTCATATCATATGCACAAATTAAACGATATCAAAATAATGTGAAATATACTTCTCTTACATTTTGAGTATTAGCTGTGCGTCTATTTTTGCGTATTGATAGATGTTCGATTATTTTTGCTCCCAAAGCATGTAAAAATTTACAGCAAGCGTCTCGTCAACATTGTTGAAATGACCAGCTTCCCGTTTCTTGATGAAGTACGCTTCTATAAAGCGCTTTCATGACTCTACCTTTTCAATAAGAAAGGGCAAGAACTATAGTCAGTTCCAAGAGACGAAAATCGAGCTATCAAGTCCTGCAAGCATAAAAAAGGTGAAAATAGCGAACAGTGATCGATCTAAAAAAAAAAAAATTAAAATAAAAAATACAAATTTTGTGGACAGGGCATAAACATGGTGAAGGATTGAAGGATTGATTTGATTAGTTCAAAATTAACCACATGTGGAGATAATGTTAACTTTGTATCTCCCCTCTCTCTATCTCTCTTTTCTCTTACTCTCCCACCATGCACCATTAAGTTTTAAATACAAAATTGACAGAGCAAAGTAAGAAAAAAAAATATCCAGTTCAGAATTATTAATCAATTTTATCTGGGAATATGCTAGGATTCTCTGCGGGTAATAGCGTCACCACACCACTAATATATACCCAGGTCACGCCCACAGAACTCTCTTGTTTCCTGGTGATTGGGAAATAACCCGTTTTTCTGTAGAGGTAAGCATAAATTTTATTTTATGATGATTTATAATGCATCAATGAATATTACTTGTATATATTTTATGCTAACTTCAAAATGACAATATCACGAAGTGTATTTTTTATTAAATTGTTTACCATTACCATGGAGTGCAGTACATGCAATATAAAAGTACATTTTTATGTCAAAATGGACAGTACTGTTGCGGGAAAATAAATAAAAGTATTTGCAACTGAAAATGCATAATTTAGTGTATACTTCTTTTTACCTGACATAAAAATTAGTTCACTTCAATAATGGAATGAATTGTTTTAATTCATTCATTTTACAGTGGTAGACCTGGCTGAATAATGTAACTAGAATATAAAATATCAACGTGACCAAAAGAGTACTTGTATATAAAGGAATAAAATCAAATGTGTATTTTTATCGTTAAAAGACAAACCATTCAACTTTGAAATTTCTTCTTCATGGTGAAATGTACATCAAAAAGTGCCACCTCAAGCAAACTTACACTTAATATTTGCTAATGTTTAAATATAGGATTCAACAAATTATATATGTTTATGTCAGCAATTTATGACCTACATAAACAGCCTATACTCTCAAGGTAACCACTAATTTAATGTCCATGAAAATGCGCACATCTAGAGGATAGTCAAAGCAAAGGAAAATCCATTTCTAAAAATAACAATGACAGACTAGGTAGTATTTCACAACATTTCAACAGTCGAGGCTGTGTTGTATTTACCGACATTTCTCTTCTGGACACCAGCGATCCTATTCAGGTATATATCTTAATTTGCATTCTGATCAATTTAATTTTCATAGTAAAAAAAAATTATTTTAACTTGCATGCCAAATCATGATTGCCTTTTAAATAATTATAATCTAACAAGCTGTAAGTTAATTTCAGTCATCCAGACTGATATGTTGGGTAAACTTTTGAAGTACAGTGATAAAACATTGATCAGAGACAAACCCCTTTATTTAGATAACTTTAATCGATGCACATATGTAATCTGTATGGTCTAACCTCAATACATGCAATATTAAACAAATAGGCATATAAAAGCTACAAACAACACTATAGTATTGGGGATAGACAACTAAAAAAAACCCCTTAAATTTACCAGGTGTTTTCTAATGATTTTTTTGTGTATTTTTTAAATGTGGTATTTGCAATTTCATCAAGCAAAAGTATTTGCATGTGTAAACCTGCAACTGAGACCTAATCCAGCTTGGTAAATATTTAATATAAACTTCATTCAACAGAGTCTTTAAAATTTATAGTATGTATATGATTTAGTATGTCCTTGGATATATGTTGGAAGTTGCAATTCTGAAATATCCTTTAAATTATTGTTAGAGAAAATCTGCAAATAAAAAGAGCAAAGAAATGTTCTGAAACCAATATTCTAAAAAAAAAAAAAAAAAGAACCAAAAAATATTGTTTGTTATAAGTGGTAGGTCAAACTGGCATTAATGACATGTTAAAACCTGAATATAAATAGGTTTAAATATCTTTAGTGCTTGTATTTAATACCTTGGTACAACAAGTCTGGAATAATTTCTGAAATCAACAATTGTACATTGTAGTGACATGACAAAGATTGTAACTATAATGCTATGGTTTGTAACTCATGTTATGGTTCATTCAATGTTGAAAAAAAATGTACATGTAATGTTGGTGTATTGATTTATCAATTTATTGAATTAATGATTTCATGGTGACTAAATAGGTTAGTAGAACCAGTACACACATATATACCTATAAAAGGTTGACCGGCAAATTACATACTTGTTCAATTATTCCCTGGAAGTTTGCCAATTTTGATCTCTGATTTACTGATTTAACGACTGTGCTTATTTTTATTGAACAAATTGACTGGAAATATTTACTTCAGATCCTAGCTGTTCTGAATTTAAAACCTGCAAATTACAAGTGAATTCTGTATACCTGTATACATATGTTTCACAATGAACCATGCATGCTGATATATTTTTTCAATATAAAAATCTACCATGTAGTTTCTTCTGCGGGGTTCTGAATGATGTATGTACCTCCCCATAACTCTGCTTTTTCTATGTTTCTTTTTCATAACATGTATTTTCTTTGTAATTGTTTAATACATTTATCTAAGTAAAATAACAAATTTTTTTAAACTGTATTTTTCTTTTCATTTATGACCAAAGTTTGGAGAAAAACTCAGAGATGATTTATATAGATCTTGTACTTGAATAAGAGTCATTTTAGCATCAGAAGCTAGCATTACAGACAGTGCAACAGTGCAGGAAATTTGATTTGTTAAAGTGACATATAGTCTTTGAATTTCAACTACTTGAATTGCACCTAATTGCACTTTCCTTACCCTTAAAAGCACCCCACCACCAAAAGTTTCAGCTTCATAACATCGGTCAGCACCAGGAAGCTCTGTCAGGCTTTATTTTCTTTATTTACTGAATGTTTTATCTTATTTTCAGAGAGAAGATAAGACTTGAACACAATGTCTAAGAATCCCAGTGACAGTATTTACCGAATCCCCCCTTACTACTTCCTCCATGTCCTTGACCAGAATCTCAATGTCACACGGCTGGAGATTGGACCCCAGACCTTCATCAGACAGGACAATGAGAGGTAACTACAAACTATAATGAAATGTAATAGCGTGCATTACCTCCTAAAGAAAAAAGGGGAAAAATATATAGGAAGAAGTTGTGATCTGCAAAGCAGATTGAATTTTTTTTTTGTGTTACACGTTAGTTCTTTGCAATGTATTTTGCCATCATTTGAATCAATAGATAGCTCTTTTTTGTTCTCTAGGTTTAAATTAGCCCAGTTTAATGCTAAACATTATAAACTAAGATAGTTGGGCATTTCTTGAGGTATTGTTATTATATGTACTTGTTCTTTGTAGGGTTGTTTATGGCCCAGAAAAGATGATCACAGTGCCACCCAGGCACTACTGCATCATCGAAAACCCAGTTGTCAAGGACAAAGAAGGAAAGGTCATCTATGATGAGAGTGGTCAGTCTAAACTCAGTCATGCTGACCTTGAGATTCGTCTCTCTCAAGAACCCTTTCCACTGTACCCAGGGGAGGTCCTCAAACAGGTTGTGACCCCATTGAAGGTCATTCCTGCAAACTCGGCCCTGAGACTACGAGCTGTGCTGGATTTCGAGGATGCATCTGGAGAAAAGCGAGTGGCTGGGGATGAGTGGCTCTTTGAAGGACCAGGGACCTATATCCCTCAAAAGGAGGTGGTCATTGAGGAAACCATCAGGGCAACGGTCATCCGTCCAAATCAGGCTATCCGTCTCCGAGCCAGGAAGGAGACTATTGACAGAGAGGGCAAAGCCAGGGTGACTGGGGAGGAGTGGATCCATAAAAAGACAGGGGCGTACCTCCCAGGAGCTTATGAGGAAGTGGTAGACATCGTCAATGCTTACGTACTAACAGAGAAGGTGTGTACAAGTGTAATTCACCATTGTCCAAAATTTAAACAAAATATATGGCATAAAAAAGTAATATTTCCTGTTACCTGATCAACCCTCTCAATTACAAGAGGGGGATTTTTGAACAAAATTTGCTGAATCCAGGAAGAAATCTTGAGTATTCCTGAAAAACTGTAATGATGAAATAATTTTGCATTTATCTTATAAACTTTTATTTGATATAAGATGGATGGACTTAATGCCATACCTTATTTGAGCTTTTTAATCTTTGATTATCTATACATTAAGCTTCCTACATGATACATATTTTTTGTTTGGCCTACATTTATAAACTTATTATAAACCTCATCAACACAAAAATTAAAGAGCTATATTGAGATAAATTAAAATAGCTATAAACTTGAATTTCCAAATAATTGTTTCCAAGGTTTTTTTAAAACACTTCTTACAACCTCATTGAATGATAATTGGTATGGATTAACAGATATCAAATTATTAAATTGAAAATTAATAATGAACAAACATTTCTTAATTTTATTTTAATTGAATTTTCAGAAAGCTCTGCACATGAGATCTTTGAGGACATTTAAAGATGAATTTGGAGTGGTGAGGAAGAATGGCGAGGAATGGCTGATCACAATGAAGGAATCGGAGACACATATTCCTGGTGTCTATGAAGAGGTGCGTATATATATACCCACCAGGAAGTCTGACCAACTTTTATTGAAAAATCTGCCAAAATTAGCTAGAATCCCAAGTACTGAAGCAGGAAGTTTGAGTTTAAATGTACCAGTCACTATTAACGTGCCAACAATAGAGGTGTCTGTTACACTCTTGAAACTTTTCGTTATTATGGCCAAATTTGGAATTGTTATTGTCTGGATGTTAGTTATGTCACTGAAATAATCTATACTGGCTCCAAAGCCATGATTTGAATCTATACTATATAGAAAAGCCTCCTCCTAAGTTCTGTCAATCCTGGCCTGGTGGATCTAGTTGGATTTATCTTTAATTACTTAGTATTTTATGATGTGTTCAGCTTTGTGAAGTGCACAGTTTGTTTTATAGCTTCATTTCGACAATCTTTATCCAGTTTACTTTTAAGGTTACTTACTACAAACAAGCTTAAAATCATCAATAGTTACTAAACCTATGTTTTTAGAAGTAAAATGAATAAGTTTAGCCTTATTACAATGTATTTTTTTTCAATATTTCCAAATAATGTCCTAAAAAGTGATAATTTTGAACATATAGATAATCTAGAATTTCTTCATATTTTAAGAATTAGCTCAAAGTAGAAAAAAAAATTAAACCATTAATTAGGGTAAAAGACTAGTGTAAATCACTCTTTATTTGAATGAACTTTTTCCTGCATAATTCAGCAAAACTGATATATATATTATTGAAAATTTATACAACAATAACCAAATTTTGTGATAATTTTTTCTTGCTTGTAAATACCGGTAACTATCTCACAAAAATACCAGTAAATATCTCACAAAAATACCAGTAAATATCTCACAATAATACCAGTAACTATCTCACAAAAATACTGGTAACTATCTCACAAAAATACCAGTAAATATCTCGCAATAATACCAGTAACTATCTCACAAAAATACTGGTAACTATCTCACAAAAATACCAGTAAATATCTCGCAATAATACCAGTAACTATCTCACAAAAATACTGGTAACTATCTCACAAAAATACCAGTAAATATCTCACAATAATACCAGTAACTATCTCACAAAAATACCAGTAACTATCTCACAAAAATACCAGTAAATATCTTACAAAATACCGGTAACTATCTCACAAAAATACCATTAAATATCTCACAAAAATACAAGACTGAATATAACTATCTCACAAAATACCAGTAACTATCTCACAAAAATACCGGTAACTATGTCACAAAAATACTGGTATCTATCTTACAAAATACTGGTAACTATCTCACAAAAATACCGGTAACTACCGGTATGTCAATAAAATACCGTTAACTATCTTACAAAATACTGGTAACTATCTCACAAAAATACCGGTAACTTATAATCTTACAAAAATACCAGATAACTATCTCACAAAAATACCAGATAACTATCTCACAAAAATACCAGTTACTATCTCACAAAAGTAAGATGTCATCTCATAAAAAAGAATTCAATATCATTAAAAAATCTAAAGTATTCATTGGAAGTTACATGGTTAACAACTCTACATTTTCTTACAAACTTCATAAAGCTAAATAATATCTGTTACGAATATGGTATGAAGATATGTATCTGTTATGAATATGGAAATGAAGATATGAAATGAAATATACAGAAAATGAAACTAACTCCTAAAATAAATTGTTTAATAAAGCACACTGCACATTGAGAATTAGTCAAGCATGGATTATTTTTTACAATGCATTGATCGTATTACAGAACATAAGAGACATACATAAGAGACGTACATACAAATAAAATAATGCACATTATTTGGGCTGTGACAATTGTATGAATACCTTATCTGATTTTTGACAAAGTGCAGAACTGCACTTTACCAGATTTCATTCCAAAGTTTTGGACTGATCCAAATATCAATTCAATCTGACTGATCCAAATATCAAGTCAATCTGACTGATCCAAATATCAAGTAGATTTGACCAAAATTACAAGCAAGAGTTGGATCCTTTGTCCTTAATAATGTCAAAGGAAATAAATACTCTTTGAATTAAGTAAAATTCTGTAGATTTCTGACCATTATACTGTAGATTCCTTATTTTTCGCGAGTACTTATTTTCGCGAAATGGCCCTTTGACGTCAAATTGCGAGAACAATAATTCGCGAGTGAACGGTTGATCAAGAAATTTTACATTGATTTCAGCCCTTTATTTCACGTTTGGTGCTTCTCGCGTAATTGCGCGATAATTAATTCCTCACGTATATTTAGGAATCTACAGTAAATACCATGAAAAATATCAGAGCCTACCCATTAATAATTAGGAACAAAACTTTTTTTTAATGGACTGTTTTTATAGGTTGTTGGAGTTGTGAAATTAGCACTTTGACCTCAGACAATACTGTGTTATCCTTGACCCCTTTGTTTTTATATGTTCTATTTTTGTAGGTTGTTGGAGTTGTGAACATAACCACTTTGACCTCCAGGCAATACTGTGTTATCCTTGACCCCTGTGATGAGTCAGGTCACCCACAGCTGGGAAGAAAGAAGCTGGTCAAGGTAAGAGTTTACGAACCCTTAATGCACAGGTGATTCAAGTCATGGAGAAGCTAAATGCTTTCAGTAACTAAAAAATGTCATAATGGTATTTCCAGTAACTATTTATTTAAAGATAAGAGAGTTCAATGTAAACCATGGCCTCATTTTAAGTGTAAACCCTTTAGCTTAGTGTAAAGTGGTTTCCCTGGTTGTCTTGTTCACAGATTTCTTTTTAAATCAAATGTTTTACTTCTTTCAGGGTGAGCGTTCCTTCTTCTTGCTGCCAGGTGAGAGACTGATGAAGGGAATCCAGAATGTTTACGTTCTCGGTGAAGATGAGGGTCTTATTCTCCGTGCTACAGAGTCCTTCAAAGATGCAGAAACGGTAGGCATTTTACAATTAAAAAATATAAATCATTTTAATGTTTGTAAGGAAAAGAAATTTCTGTGTCACTAGAAGTAACTTCATTTTGGGATAGCAGTGCTCATAGCTGTTCCTCAAAATTTTTTCAAACAAAATGTTATAAAAATCATTAATTCTCTTGAAGATTTAAAAGCAAACTTAGTTGATTTTTCTTGAATTAAGGCCACAGTAAATTAATTCTATTTATAGATTATAAATTATATTTACGTCCTCGGGTGGGTAGGTTTTTAGGAAAATCCAGTAAAATTTAAAAAAAACAAACACAGGTGTGTCACATTTTTAACAATTTCCCCCTGTATGGAAATACTGTAAACATATTTTCTTCCACAGGGTCATAATTTTGCAGAATCACAATTTCTGTTAAATCCATGGGTAGGAAATTACACATATTTCTTAGATTACCACTATATGCCTGACATGAACTTTTATTATGCGTAGACAAATTTCCACAGAAAATTTGTGATGGCATACATAGCATAAATTAATACCATGCAGAAAAAATCCTTCTACAGTATTTTAATACAGTATATTTTAAGGTACAATATTCTTAATCTTTGAGAGAAAAAGGAACAAATCAAAAATCCCAAGTAGAAAAGCAGAAATTTAAAGAAGTTTATATGTTTTCTATCATATTAATGCTAATGTGTGATTTATATTTCCATATATTTTTAATTATTGAAAATCTTGTAATGTTTTTTTGAAATGTGTTAAATTTGGTTTGACTGAAGGGTACCTTTTCAAAGATTTTAGGGATGTAAAACAACATTAATTTTTACCACAGCTTAATAATTAAAACACAGTGAAATTTAGGGGGAGCCATGAAAGAACAAGACCGAAGTTAGTATGTGTTTATTATGTATTTGATTTGGTCAGAATGAGGAGCTTCGTCCGGGAGACAGATGGATGATTCGAGGACCCAAGGAATATGTTCCCCCGGTAGAAGTGGAGGTCTTGATGAAGAGGGTTGCCATTCCCCTGGATGAGAATGAGGGTATCTATGTCAGAGACATCAAGTCCGGAAAGGTAACCTATAATTGTTTCATCTCTTTGGGAGTAGGTTTTATACTAGTTTCTTTATGGGATTTTAATGAGCTTGGCCATTTTTTTTATGAAGCATAACTAATTTATGATGAGAACAGTGCTATTTGAAATTGCATAAATATTTTATCATCTAAAGCTTGGGAAAATATTTACTTACATGCATGTTGTATGGTTTTAAAGGATATTTAATATTTCAACATTTATTTTGAATGTGTTCATTACAGGTGAGAGATGTAAAAGGAGAAACCTACATGCTGAGTCATGATGAGGAACTCTGGGAAAAAGAACTTCCACCTGCTGTGGAGGCTCTGCTAATGGCAGGAAAAGACCCCCTGGCTGACCGCGGTGACCGCACTAAGGGAGGTGAGAAGGGAGAGAAACGAGACAAGACCAGAGTGGTCACATTCAGAGTCCCCCACAATGCAGCGGTCCAGATCTATGACTACAAAGAGAAGAAAGCCAGGTAACAAACTGGTTTGTCTTCTGATCTTAAGAGTAAAAGCACATATTTGGCAGAAACTAGAAGACAAGAATGTTTCATTGTACAATGTTAAAATATCAATCCTCAGTATCAATATACATATACATACTAGGTACTTGACTTAAAAAAAGAAACATTTTGAGGGCTTACCATGCAAAACTTCATGAAAAAAGTTTCCTATAAAACTGTAAAATACTCCTACTATTTGTTGGAAGAAAATTTTACAACTGATGTCTTGTTTTCTGCACAGAGTGATCTTTGGCCCTGAGTTGGTGATGCTTGGTCCAGATGAACAGTTCACCCAACTCTCTCTGTCAGGAGGGAAACCCAAGAAACCAAATGTCATCAAATCTCTCTGTCTTCTGCTGGGACCTGACTTTTGTACAGACATCATCACCGTGGAGACTGCTGACCATGCAAGGCTTTCCCTACAGCTGTCCTACAACTGGCATTTCGAGGTCAAGGACAAGAAAGATGTGGTGGATGCTGCCAAAATTTTCAGTGTCCCAGACTTTGTGGGAGATGCTTGTAAGGCCATTGCTTCTAGAGTCAGAGGGGCTGTTGCTCAAGTTCAGTTTGATGATTTCCACAAGGTATGTTTTCCACATTTAGCAGTTTATGTAAATTTTTGGATGCTTTTCATTATTACATTGTAAATTGTAAATATCTTATGGGTTGTATTTTTTTGTTTTAGAATTCTGCTAGAATCATCAGGTCATCTGTATTTGGAATTGATGACAAGGATAAAGTTAGAGATCAATTTAAATTCCCCCAAAACAATCTTTGTGTTACAAGCATTGACATTCAGTCTGTGGAACCTGTTGACCAGAGGACCAGGGATGCCCTGATGAAGTCTGTTCAGTTGGCTATTGAGATCACCACCAATTCCCAAGAAGCAGCAGCTCGCCACGAGGCAGAGCGTCTGGAACAGGAGGCCAAAGGTCGCCTGGAGCGTCAGAAGATTACAGATGAAGCTGAAGCTGAAAAGGCAAGGAAAGAACTGCTTGAGCTCCAGGCCAATAGTGCTGCTGTAGAGAGCACAGGTCAAGCTAAGGCAGAGGCCCAAAGTAGAGCCGAGGCAGCAAGAATCGAGGGAGAGGCAGCAGTTGAACAAGCCAAACTCAAGGCACAGGCAATGAAAATTGAAGCTGTAAGTAATCAATGCAATCATTATTATCAACCAGATTTATTAAATGATGCCTGGCTAAAGATTTCACCGAGTTAATTACAAAAGCAATATTATATTTTCTCATATTTCAAAATGTCAAAAAAGTTTATTTTTGTTTATTTGTATACAGCCGGCAAAAATAATTTCTAAATTATTTGTTCTCAGGAATCTGAACTGGAGAGACTTACAAGAGCTAGAGAGGCAGAGCTCAAGTTCCTTGCAGAACAGAATGATTTGGAGCTCAACAAATCTCGAGAGGTGGCTGAGATCGAGACATCCAAATTCAAGAGTCAGGTGGACGCTATTGGAGCCCAAACACTCCAGGCCATTGCCACTGCTGGACCAGAGATGCAGGTCAAACTGCTGTCTGCTCTTGGCCTGAAATCTACACTGATTACAGATGGAAACAGCCCCATCAACCTCTTCAACACGGCTAACGGAATTGTGGGAGGAATGGTCCCTGCTAAAAGATCCCGACGCTCTCCTCCAGAATCTGATGATGAGTAGAGCAAAGGACAGAAGTTTTTGTAATCTAATTCTGAGTGCAATGATTGAGTGATAAAACATTGTGTTTATGTGTACATGTAGTAAGAAAACCAATTTAGTTTGTTTTTGTAATGCAAGACACTTTAAGTTTAATGTATGTATATATATTAAGAAATTTAATCATGGCAGCAGAAATGCATGTTCCTACTATTGTGTATTTTTGCTGAATTAGCATATCATTGTTTTCCATTTTGTATACCTTACTTACACACTTTTCATATTGATATAAAATGTTTACTGTGATACATGTAATACAAAAATAAATTATTCTTATGTTGTTATTTTTGATAAGGGTAACATTTTTTTGCAAGTGTGATCTTGACTTCTGCACGTTTTCTGTTTTGCAGACACTAGAATTTTACTATGTACATACTGTATAACCACAAGCTGTGTAGGAAGTAAAATACGCTTTTTGTTAGACACTCCATGAAATTTATAATTTCTTTGTTTATAGATTACATTTTTTTTTCTGTTGACATTTGTACTAATTTATAAATGCCTTTAGAATCATTTTCTTTTAATTATCTTTTATCTGCCATTTACCTGGCAGCATGTAAGAAACTGAGCAGAAAGAGTTGTTTTCTTGCTTCTGTCCCCTAGTTCTATCAAGGGATGTAGTACAATGTGCCAACCAGAGAGCATCAGTTAGAGACATCCTATTGGTGAACATCAGGTGTTTCACTATAAATTTAAAACTGAAAAAGCTTGTTCAATTTTTAAGTTACATTTGTAAGCAAAACTCAAAGGAGAAATTTGAATTCACATGACATAGTTCCAAACAGGGCAGCTTCAGGCTTTTCAAACAGAGGAAACTAGAGAGGGACAGATTATGATGCATCAATTTAGTTGAGAGGTTCCATCCTGACGGAATTTTCATCTTGCTCAGTATCCATATAGAACTCTGTATACAACTGTTTCAGGCCTCCATTTTGAAGGAGTTTTATTGACTGTGGATGATTTAAGAGTTTATAAAGGAGTTAGATGATTTTTATCACGTTTGGCTGGATTTTATCCCACAATTTCAGGTCGAGGTATGACGCATTTTGTTGAAATTAGGTATTGCATTCACACTTCATACATTTAATAGTATTTTTGCTGTATTGTTTCACAAGTAGAAATATTTGTCTATCATCCAATAGACACTGAAGAATGTGACTAGCATCATTTTGTAAGTCAGTCTCATGGATGCCTATGTGAGAACATTATGTTACTCTACACTTGATTATATGACTATTAATTAGACTGACAATACTTGCCCGCATATCAAAATTTGCATCACTGAGAAACATTTGGAAATAATCAAAGGTTTGTGTAATATTCCAAAACAACATTCTAGGAGTCCCATAATGCATAGAATTAGAAGCTGACAAATGCAGTAATCAACTACTTATTATACCCCACGCAACAAGTTGCGGGGGGTATAATGTTTTTGACCCGTCCTTCAGTGTTTCAGTCAGTCAGTCCGTCAGTCCTGTTTTATTTTTGTCAGCGCAACTCCTCTTAAACCGCTGCACAGAATTTGGTCAAACTTAGATTTTTGGCCATATCTTGAATATAAAGAAGGACAGTTTGTTAGCGCAACTCCTCTTAAACCGCTGCACAGAATTTGGTTAAACTTTGCAGATATTTAGTACACAGTGTGTAGATGTGCATATTACCAGAAAATTCCGATTCCATTATTTTTCTGGGAATTTCGGCACTTTTCAACTTAGATTTTTGGCCATATCTTGAATATAGAGATGAACAGTTTGTTAGTGCAACTCCTCTTGAACCGCTGTACAGAATTTGGTTAAACTTTGCAGATATTTAGTACACAATGTGTAGATGTGCATATTACCAGGAAATTCCGATTCCGTTATTTTTCTGGGAATTTCGGCACCTTTCAACTTAGATTTTTGGCCATATCTTGAATATAGAGATGAACAGTTTGTTAGTGCAACTCCTCTTAAACCGCTGTACAGAATTTGGTTAAACTTTGCAGATATTTAGAACACAGTGTGTAGATGTGCATATTACCAGGAAATTCCGATTCCTTATTTTTCTGGGAATTTTGGCACCTTTCAACTTAGATTTTTGGCCATATCTTGAATATAGAGATGAACAGTTTGTTAGCGCAACTCCTCTTAAACCGCTGCACAGAATTTGGTTAAACTTTGCAGATATTTAGTACACAGTGTGTAGATGTGCATATTACCAGAAAATTCCGATTCCATTATTTTTCTGGGAATTTCGGCACTTTTCAACTTAGATTTTTGGCCATATCTTGAATATAGAGATGAACAGTTTGTCAGCGCAACTCCTATTAAACCGCTGTACAGAATTTGGTTAAACTTTGCAGATATTTAGTACACAGTGTGTAGATGTGCATATTACCAGAAAATTCCGATTCCATTATTTTTCTGGGAATTTCGGCACTTTTCAACTTAGATTTTTGGCCATATCTTGAATATAGAGATGAACAGTTTGTCAGCGCAACTCCTATTAAACCGCTGTACAGAATTTGGTTAAACTTTGCAGATATTTAGTACACAGTGTGTAGATGTGCATATTACCAGGAAATTCCGATTCCATTATTTTTGCCTTAAGAGTTTTGCCTATTATTGAAGAAACTTTCCAGCTAGGTAATAAGGAAATCCACTGGAATCAGCTTTTGTAATGAAATTTTATGTGAAATATTTTATGACCTTAAAAGAACCCTACTGATTTTGAGATCAAAATATTAATGATTTAACACACACACACACACAATCTTAGATATTTTTCACCCCCCCCCCCCCCCACACACACACACCCTCAAATTGGTGCTTTGGCTTAAATAATTTCATAAGTACAGTATATAAACAAATTCATATGACTACATCATAATTTTGTTTCCATCAATTATTTAAATGTGTAAATTGTCATATGTTGGACATGGACTTACACTCATTAACAAATCGAAATCACTGAGGAATTTAAATAACAGTTTGTCAGCATAACTCCTGCACTGAATTTCCTGAAACTTTGTAGGTATTTTAGACATAATGTATAGATTTGTACATTACCAAGAAATTTTGATTCCATTATTTATCTAGAAACTTCAGTCCAATCAAATTTGGAACATACAAAGATTTGAATGTCCTTATATGCAAGAAATTTTGATGTGATGATTTTTTGCAAGTAATGCCCCTTTTTGAATTATTATACTGTGTATTTAAGATGCACTGTGCCATTCATTACGTGTTGCATTGTTGAGTTTTGGGGGAGCGTGGGGTATGTGAGCTTGCTCACTTTTTCTTTCGTTAATAGATGTCTTCCCTGTAAAACAGTTCCAGAAACATTGATTCATCTTTTTTATGATTGTATACATGTAACCAGGTTTTGGAGAGATTTTGAAAATTGGTATCGTGCTATTGAAAATGATTATGTAATTTCAAAACAAAAGGTGATGCTTGGTAACATTGATGGAAGTTGTTTAGAAAATTTTCTTATCTTGTTAGGAAAAAAGTACTTGTATCACTCAAGATCTCAATGTACAATACCTAAATTTACAGAAGCAATTAAAACATTTTTAAGTATTATAGAAAAATTGAAAAATATTGTGAAAGTAACTTTCACTGTAAAACTAAAATGTATAGTAAATGGGCAATGTTTGATTTGATTTGTTAATATAAGAAATTCTAATTAGTATAACTATAGCTATAATATTGAACAGTTGTTTTTTTTTTTTTTTGGGGGGGGGGGGGGGGAAGGTGCACAGTGAGTGTATGGATGTGTGTGGGTGTGGGTGTGTGTGTACATATATGTCTGTGTTGTTTGATCTTATGTTTATGAAAACTTTTTTAAAAATAAAGCATTAAAAAAAATAGATGTCTTCCAGACCAGATGTCTTTCATGGATTACTGCATAATTCGTCCAAGGGTCATCAGCAACGAAGAGCTATCGAGGCCACTTTCACTAGAGATCAGTAGGAGGAGATGGAAGTAGATGGACATGTTTTCAGGATACACCAAAACTCCACCCCTAAGAGATGGGATGAGATGGACTCCTGCAGGGAGGAGAAATACGGAGATCTAGAGAAACGGGAGATGCTTCAACAAAATGAAAAGGAAAGGCAGTAGGTGGAAATGGGAACAGATCCAACTTTAGTCCCAGGATGTCTCTGATAAAGGCCTTGTATGTAAAGCACCACTCAGGGGGGAAAAAATGAATCTGAATAACAGTGTGTGCATGTTTCAAATTACCTTTAGGCCTCGTGCTGTATGCTCAAAATATGGTATTGTTGATGCCATCTATAGATGTAACTTAGCTCTATCGTCAAAAAAAAAAAAAAAAAACGGTCACGGTAGCCTAGTGGTACCGGGGCCGGGATTCAATTCTCCCTGCGTCATACCTATACATCTTATAAGACGTAATCATAGGTAGTAACTGTTCATTTGCCAAACGCCCAGCACTAAAGGTGTAATCACGGTCTTTCGGATGAGACTTTAAAAACCGTGGACCCGGAAGTGTCACAGCAGGCGTTGGTACGATAATAAAGATCTCTCACTGCTCAATATGGCCGTAAGTGCCGAGTATAACTCTTAAATTTGCAGCCCTTCACTAGTATAAGGTGACGTCTCTATACGAGTAAAAAAAATGGGCCTGTTTAAGATAACTATCTAGAGTGCGCTGCTGGTTGCACACGAGTATTAAATGTTGCTATAATTATTATCAAAATTGCGAAACTTTAAGTAAATGTAGCTTAATTTAATCAGATTGATATTTCATCTATGTAAAACAATACTTTCTATATATTTTCGTACCAAAATACACATGGCTACCTACAAATGCAAGCACGTTTACCGTCATCGAAGTCGAATGGGTGCCTGTAAATGACGGGAGGACCTAACCACCCCTCCTTTAATGTAGCATACCAAAGCAAGCTTAACTAATGATGACTGATTAAAACTTTATACTGTAACATACGATTCCAAAACAAAACAGAATACTAGTACATTGTTACTTTTATAAACAATTTCTACTAATGCTTTGGGTATTGAAATCATAATACACAAGCAATCAGAGCTTTGCACAAACGAATTGACCGTCTGGATTTTTTTCGTCACAGGAATCGTCAACATCAGTTGACCTCTTTTAATCATTATTAATTATCTTGAAAAAGGAAGAATTTCTTGAATCTTCTTTATCGTCTTTCATGTCTTTAAATAATCAGAGAATCCGTTGCGAGGACTACATTTGTTCAGCAATGTTCAGGTGTTGATAATTTGTCTCGTTTCGGTTGTCTTCAAAGGATTTTTCTCACTGTAACGTCATCTTGAACCTCTCTTCTCTTTGCATACGTCGATCTTATTTTTTTTTTGTTTTGTGATCTTTAACGGATATTCTCTTGTCAACCATCGCTAAAGTAGTATCTTATTTGACTCCTTATCAAGTTTTCTTCTTGTTTTCTATGCAAAGGTATACTTTACAATGGACTATTAGCATAATGGTAATTCTTTTCTAAAATTCTCTCTCTCTCTCTCTCTCTC